ATGAATGAGCCACTCTTCATAATACCTTCTAAAAACTAAAATAAAAAAATGTTAACCTAGACAAATAAAGATTGCATGATGTCATCCGTGCATCTGTACTTTAATACACATGGCTCCAGACCAATCATAGTGTGCATAATATACCAAACATTATCTAAYTRAGATTACAACATAACCCATATGTAGTATTAGTTCCAGCTAGATTGAAATATTATAAGTATGATTTTTTACCTTCTTTAAATCTTCATAATAAGCTATATACTTTAGTATAACTGCTGATGCAGAATCAGGTGGTGACTCCTGGTAGAATTGACTAAGCTCTTCTAATGGCATTGCACTTTCAATAATAGATTCCATATTGGCCAAAATCTTTTTTTCTGTGGGTCCTGCATAATAAATGTATAGAAAAATTGMGTAGTCATAATTCACTGACTAAATTACATAGCTTTTGTTATATAGAAAAAAATTAATGTGTATTCACCTGACATGGATCTAACTTTGATGTTGCTCTTTGTGAGMGCTGCATCAGAATTTTGTCCAGGGTTTTGTTTAACATCTATGCGATTGTATTTTCTTGCATTCTCCGGACCATACTCRGACAGAACTTCATTGAGCTCATCCAMGGTACCCACTTGATGGCACTGCAACCCTAATGCTCCTAAAAGATGTTCAGTGTTCCTCATTTCTTGATGCAGAGAGCATAACTGGATTTTTGACAAATCCTCATCTAGTAGAAACTCAAGGTCATCTCTCAAACCAGTCCATCTGAAAAATAATACATTAATTAATTAATGAGAAAATGGATGCATGAATGGATTAAAGGAATGAGTTTAAATGCTGAACTGAATAGGTTAATTGTTGATTGAAATCAGCACYTCCATAATTTAAAATTCATATTCAATGATAGAGCTAATTTGCATACAATACTACATCAACACTAAAATGAAACTTACTCTCCAATATTTGCTTTGGACTGCAAGCACGAAAGGCATGTCTGGTCAAATCTTGTGGATAAATGAGCTAGGCAGGCCTTAACATAAAAAGGGAAATATTTTATATATTATGTGAATATATCTATTACTTTCCCTTTACCACCTTTAAAACAAAKKAAAAAAAKAGTAATGCATAATAATAAGAAATAAAAAAGAAATATCAATGTGTCAACTAAACAGTTAGATTTCAGTTAAACGTACCCTTACAGCCTGGCAGAAGATGCAAAACTCCACATCAAAACCGCGTCCTCCTAATTCAATCTCAGCCTCACCGTCCTCCAAAATTTTTCGGATCAAAAGCAAAAGGGCCTTGTAATCGATTGTAACTAAAAAGAAAGAAAGAAACATGATAATTTGATGCAAGCTTTGTAACTTATTTTAACAAATTTAACCAAAACAGACAATAAAAATTATTTAATTCCTGTTACTTGTAACAAGAATGTATGTGTATTATATCATTTTTTAATTTTTTTTTCATTAATCACGATTGATTATCAAAGTGTGCAATAAACCTGTGAATTTAATTTGATAGTTGATTCCATCAACAGTAATCCCTTCTTGTTTGATGACTTTTTTCTCTTCAATYAGCCTTCTAATAAGACAGCGAAGCTGGTCACTGAAAAAAAAAGGATTACTATTACTACTTACTACAATAATGCATTGCTATTTAAAGGGCATATTATAATGAATTACCTTTTTTCTTCACAGTTGGCTATTGCTAATGGGTAACAGAAGTCAGAACTCTCTGAGTTTGCTATCATTATGTTAATAGGCACTAGACTCAGAGAAACCTGATCTTTGCCTACAAAAAAAATATTTGTATATAATCATGTAGTTAATTACTGTATAATGAAATCTGGAATATGCAAAATAATATTCATATAATTTATATCACGAAAATCATTAATATTACTATTATAAAATGTTAATCAATATTATTATTATNATACCAGCTAAGTCTATATTCCCTCACAATATAATAATTGATCAAAATTGTACTTAATGCTTATATACTAAAACATTTAGACTTTGATCAGACTGATTGGACTACTATTAATATCAGTGATTTATCATGAGCCTAGAGATGAGCCTAGAGATCTATCAGTTTTACAGTGCGCAATTACTGAAAACGGGCAATAGAATTTAGATTGAATAAATGATAGCTGATAAATTCATGATTTAAAAACTTTACCGTATAAAGGCCTCCCATCCAGCTTAATATTAAATTCCATTATTGGCTCTGCTGAATGATGCAGTCTTGCTTCCCTTATGGCCCAGATCATTGCATCAGGCAAACCAACTCCGTGCCCAACAAAGTCAAGCTCTTTTTCTTTGACAATTTCGATGCCAACAAGTGATTGGACAGTTGAAAATATCATGCATTTACTGGCCTGCATCATATTTTTAGATAGGATGCACTTGATATCTTTCTTTTTCTGTTTAATATTCAAATAAATATATGATAGATTATTATTATCATATTACTATTATTTATTGACATGTATTTTAGTTTCTATCAACTAAATTTATGCAATGAAAACTAACATCAAAGGAAAATAATTAAATTAACTTACCCCAGTTCTGCCAATATTTAAGTAATTTATCAGGGTTTGCCATGCTGTATCTGGCATCTTTGTGCAGAGCTTAACATACACCTGAACCCAATCGGGAACTCTGATCTCCATATACTTCTTGTTCAACATCGAAGTGGTTGAAACCAGGTCAACTGTGTTTTGGTATCCCTTCTTTTCCACCATAACATCTAGGGCTTCTCGGATGACGGACACAACATCATTTTGTAGGGAGACATCTCCGTAAATGTGACCATTTCCTAGTAATTGTCCCATGTTTATATCATACAATTTACAG